CACACAGATGGCTGTGTGTGCAAGATCAGAGCCTTCAGCTCAGTCTTGCAAACCCCCTGTTCAGTTTTAGTGCCAAAGCTACCTGGCTGTCTTGGAGCATGTGGAAGCCAAACCCATGACTGGCTGTGTCTGCTCACACTGACATAGCTGTAGCCTTGTCTGTAGCAGGGATTTCAAAGAGCACTTCATGTGAAAACATATTCATCAAAAATGATCGTTAAAAAGAAAACATTTAGAGACAACTTTTCCCCCCAGGATGTTTCCTATTCAGAATTATTACCTTCAGTGTTTACTTAAACTAAAGATTAAGTTTTGGCAAGCCCAAACTAAATTCATTTCACTGCAATGAAATGAATGTGTTTTTAAGTACAATGGCAATCTCAGTGGAACATATGTGCATATGTGCTTTGTTTTTCAACAGAGTCAAAATTCACTACTGAAAATGTTGATGAAAAATATTTTCAAAGATTATTAAAATTTATGAAGTGTCTGAAGATGCTTTACAGTTTTAAGAAAGAAAAGTATTCTTCAGCAGAAGAAAAATATGATTAGTGTGATCTTCATTAAAGAATCAATGAGAACAGAGCAAAAAGTAAGTAGTAATCTACTTTCAAGGTCCGTAGCTACCATTAGCTAAGAAATCAGGTAAAATAGCTGTTTTCCTGTTTCATGATGAGCCTTACTTTTAGCCTAGCTCTTCCTAGGAAATATCAAAATTCTCAGAGTTTTGTCCACTTTTGCTACCAACCGCGCGTCTTCATGTGTGTGGTTGTTGTCAACAGCCAACATGGCATGGCGCAAAGTATTGCCCATCTGCTAATTGACTAGGGAAGTAGGAGGGAACCATGAGGACCTCAGTGACAGCACAGGCAGAAATGTGTGGGATGGGGAGAAGGGCTATGGAGCTTCTGTGTAGACTTCCAGTAGCGGAAGCATCATCATTGCAGTTGCCAAGTTGTAGCTGCCCACACAGGCACATGCTGAATAGATCCATATCTCTCTGTTCTGCTGTGAATAATTATTTGTTTTCTCTTTATCTGTATTTTTATCTCCACCCTAGCACCCATTCAGTTCTTTTTATGAAAAGAATTCTTGACTAGGAGTCAGATTCAAGCTTTTTTTGTTTCTTGCTTGTTTTTCCAGAAAAAGGCTTTTTATAATTGTGCAGGCATTACCACAAGATTCCTTTTTCCTAAATTTTCATGCAAGTCAAATCTCTTTATATTGTAGAATTAGCCTGCATCTGCATTTCAGACAAACTCTGAGAATATAACTCTGTAGCACTCAAAAGTGGGAGCAGTGTGCTATCAGCAACAGAGAATTAGATCACAATTATACCTCAGATCCTGAATACTTTTGCCAGCTGAACTAAAATTTTTGGGAGTCACTTGTCGCTAACAACCACTCCACTTTTTTTTAATCACACAGAAATAGATTTTCCTCATGCTCATGAGTTTCTGGAAATCCATATCAGATATAGAAACCCCCATGATGCTACATACTGTGGCCACATGAAGTCAAAAGAGCAAGTCTTGCCCTAGCAGACTCATAACCTTGGTTCATGACAAATAGGAATAGCACACAAAACTGGATGAGGCTAGGAGAAAGTATTAGTATGTCATGTTACTCTCCTACAGCCCTACTTTTCTCTATATAACCATTAAGATCAATTAAGTTGCTCCTGAAAATGCATGAACACATGCGCTGAACTGCAATGTCAATGCAACAGTAAAGCAATCACTTGATAACTTTCAGTCTTGTTGAAAGACAAAGCTCTTTTTGCCATGCCTTTTTAGAGCGTGTGCACCATCCTCTTCTCATGCTTTTGATCTAGGGCATACAGGTATAAGTAAATAAAATGTTTTGCTCTCCCATTTCTAACCCTATATCTTGGAGATTTTCAAAGTGAAGAAAAACTGGTAGAAGATTCTTTCAGTACGGCTTGGCGTAAATTTTGTACCATATGTATCCACCCACCTATTTCCATTTTCTCTAAAGCCGAGTGACAAATAGTCAACTTTGGATGGAATCTCTCAAGTAAGAATTGCGGTCACTGGAAAAAGCAGGTAAGCAAAGATTGACCATTTCTAATTGGTTCATCTGAAATTTACACATTTTCAATGTCCACCTCTGAATTTTAGGAAAGTGAGTTTACTCAGTTATATGCCACTGCATTCCTGGTTTTGGGGTTCAACATGGAATAGTATAACAAACTTCAGTATTGCATTTCTCTGGTCTTTCTGCCTTTTTTCTTCAGGGATGGAACCTCTCAGTAACCCGAGGGTAACAAGAGGTACAAAAGGGCCTAAGATACATCAGGACATCAGCATGACAAAGGTGTGTCCCAAGGATAGCCCCTTTTTCCTAGCGTATTCCATGCTATAGTAGCAGCACAGAGGGAAAATATTAGAGAAGCCTAAAACCACCTGTGTGCCTCTACATGCCTCATCTCTGCCAGTATAGGGCTGCTGTTCTGTGACTCAGTATGCAACTCTAGCCTAACAACCAATTTATTTGTGATGTGTACTCAGCAACTCAAGTTTTTGAACACTGTTGGGCTTTCTGGGGCAGGGAACCACCTGCTTCACTATCACATGAAAGACAGTAGTCTTCTTTTTTTAAGAAATGGCTTTGTATAAGCATAAACTAGGTTATTCCTCTGCTTCTGAGAATATTCTTGTTCTTTTCTAAGTCTTCTACTTATTAAATGGCATAGGAATGTCTCAGAAGTATTGAAGTTCAAAAGCCATGAAAAGATTAGAGAAAGCAACAGTTCTTCACACTGAGTTTTTAGTTCATGTAAACTCCATTGCTATAAGATAATTTTAGCAATTTAACTTAAAAGGCATTTTGAAGAAAAATGCAAAGAAAAACAAAATTCCTTTACTATTAAAACAGTCATTCGCCTCATCTTCCCAGTAGGCAATAGTGTATCTCTTCATGTGCTTCTTAAATTACGGCCACAAGGAACTGCTGGATATACAGAAAATAACAACTTATCTTCAATAAAAGCATATTTTCCAGAAAATCATCTAGTCCTGAAGGTACCAAAGGACAAGGAGTCCAACACTTCCTAGTGGCGGATCTACCCCAGTAGTCATCAGTGACAAAAATGTGTCTGCCATTTAACGGTCCTACCTCTTGTAAGGAAATACTTATTCCCTGTGAGGACAGTAAAGCAGTGGAGCAGGTTGCCTAGGAAGGTTGTGCAGCCTCCATCCTTGCAGGTTTTCAAGACCTAACTGGATAAAGCCCTGAGCATCGTAGTCTGACCTCAGAGGTGACCTCAGAGTCTTTGAGTGGGAGTTCGGACTAGAAATCTCCTAAGCCTGTAATAGGATGATACTGTAGTCCTAACATTATTTTGTCTGTCTTCAGGTTCCACACTCTGGCCTTGATTAGGCCTTTCTAGGCCTATGAGGCTTAGCTCTGCTGAATTACACACCCCAGGTGCTCCCTCTCTGGCCAACACGGAACTAGAGAGCAAGACTTGGCTGACCTCTTCGTCTCCCTACCATCAGCCTGAGACGCAAGGCTCTAGTAAATCCAGCCTCCAAAGAGTTTATCGCTCCAGGAGGTCTCCAGGCTCCAAAGATGCCTGATGCTGAGACTTAGGAAAAACCACATCCCTGGCTCTAAAGCGATCTGCACCACAGAACAGCCTGGAGCCAGAGCTCCTGGTCTTTCTTTGTTTCCCATCAGGTAGCCTGGCAGAAATCCTTCTGACTGAAAAAATACAACACGGTTTCCTGGCTGTCCCTGTGCAAAATTGCAAAAATATTTGAATATATTGCTTTATTATTAAAGGTCAAAGCTAACTCAGAGAGAATTAACAATAATCCCTTCAAGACATGATAATCAATTGTGCTAATACATGATGGGCTTTCTTATGCAAGAAATGGTAAGTTTTAGTTTTGAAATCTTGATGGATGGAATTATATTCCACATGGAATAAAGAAATACATTTTGAAGAAAAATTAAGTACCATATGTCATTTCAGGCCCCTTTTTGCTGAGAATTAAAACAGTAGAAATCAGAAAGAGATTTTTTGTTTAGGAAGCTGGAAAATCACAATAAGAAAAGGAAAAAAGATGAAGAAAAGCTAGTATCTTCTCTTTTATCTGCCACAGACATTCTTTACTGTTTTGGAGACAGCAATTAGTCTAAGTGAATTTAATTAAGTGTTTAATAAGATTTTTAAGAGGTCAGGAGGGCTGGAAGCAGACAAATAAGTCTAGACAAAATATCCCTGTTTAATGTAGTTATTTATGTCACCTATGAGAGAGGTGACTTGCAGTGACCATGCTTTGTATCATTTTAGCATGATTTGAAATGTCATTTGAGTGAAAGAACTCAGTCATTTGAGCTTCAGGGTATATAACAATCCCTCTCCCAGAGGCAATTTGTTTAATGCATTGAAATTAGTTTGAAGACAGAGGTTGTTCCCATTCCCTTTTTTCCTGCAGATTTTCTTTAGGCTTGGAGTAATATCTTAAGATATTCAGAAACCTCCACTCAGAATGGGAGACAAATCTGATTATATTTAAAATATATACTGTAATTAATATGTTACACTACTTTGGTTATTACTCTGCTAACTTCTGTAGCTCCTGCTTAGAGTTCGGTGCAGCACTCTTTGCAGCTATTGAGAGGCAGGGATTTTAAATATAAACTTTTACATTTCAGTCATGGAGAAGCAAGAGGTAAAAGCTGCTCTATAGCATCCAGGACTGGATTGTAAGTGCTATAGAAACATAATATTAACCTCTTCTCCAGAAGATATGGTCTTCACTAGATCGAAATCTGGTTAGGAGACAAGTTAAGTAATGATGAACATGAATGAACCATGATGAATTCATTCATCTGCTTTTCCCCATCCTACTTTGTTGGTTTGACCCATTATTTCCCAAGAAACAGCATCATTGCTTTGGAAGCTTTGTGACCCTTCATGGAGATTTTAGGCTCAAAATCATAGTCCCAGATGCCACCAGTGCACTCACCTGACCAGGTCTTCTTGCAAAAAGCTGACTATGAGTGTCTCCTAAGCCAAAATGACATCTCTTATGCTCCTTGTTCCTCACTAGAAGGTTCAGAGCATGCCTATCAGAATAAGACATGAAAAAGGTACGAAGAAGAGTTTGAATATGGCTGTCCTCTAGAGACCAGGTTTTGCTCTTAACCTTTCCCCATCTTTTCAAAAGCTTTGCAGGATACAGCAGACAAACCAGATTTACAAATCCAGTAATGCTGGATTTGATCCATAAAACGCTGACTGATCTCAAGCCAGACAGAAAACAATTCCCTTTTTGCTTTCAGCCAATCAGTTGCCATGGGTATCCCTGAAGAGCACTCCCTGTGCCTTGTACAGTACTACAATACTACACTCTTTAAACCACAATGCAAATAACAAATTATAACAGAAGAGAAAGTAAACACCTTGAGCATGCCATCTAGTCACCAACACACACACACACACACACACACACACACAAATATTTCAGAAAACAAAAACTATTAGCTTTCTTTTGATATGGTACATTTAAAAGTTCACTATTGAGAACAGGAAAACAGTCTCCACTATGTAACAAACTAGAGCCCATTTTGGCCATGGGCTAATGCCTAATGGTTTGTACTTTTAGATAAAATATAGAAGATAAAAAGTTGATTAAAACAGGAACCAGAATGGCATGTCTTATTTCTCCTCCTTTTATGTTTCTGATCAGCAACTTCAGCATTTCTTCATTTTCCTGGCACTGAAGTCTACAGCATCTTGAATTCTTGTCATTCACTTTCTCCTGGTGAATGAGGAATGCTTTTTCAGTCCTTGCCTTGCTTGTTAGAAAGTTTTCGCTGTGGTTGTTCAAAATCTTCCTTCTTCAGTCTATCTCATCAGTCGTGTCAAGACTGGAGAAATGCTTTTGGCAGTAGTGTTAATAAATAAGATAGAAAAGAAAACAAAAATGGTTTATTCACGGTTTTGCCATTAATCGGACACTCTTTTAAAAAGGCAATAAATGTTATCCTGAAATGGATTTACTCCTGAGCCTAGCAGAGTACCACGTGTGGTAAAGTACATACATTATGAAGGGTGACGGGTCATATGGAGTCTGGGTGTGCATTCAGATAATTTTTGTAAAGTAGGTATTAAGTGCTGATCTGGAACATACCTCCTTTTAATCAGTCCTTACTGCTTCTTCTGAAAATCTGTACAAAGCAGCAGAGTTTTGGCCACAAGAACCACCGAAGACTCAGAACCCAACTTTGGCCTCCCCTGCCTCCCACCACTACCACAGAATGACAGAAAAAATTGACAGGTCACAGAGCCCTGGAACCAAGACCAAGAACACAGCAAAAGACCAACACATAGTGATGCAATGTACTGGTTCAGCAACAATTCCAATACACTGCTGTGGCCAGCAGCTTCCAGTTCCAGACCACAGGCTTCCCGATGGCTGAATAAAGCCAATCACATACTAAGGCAGAGAGCTGCAACGTAGCTTTTAGGATAATGAGGTAACTATTAAATATCACTAATGAAGTAATCAAAATTTAAAGAGAAGTTTCCTGGGTGATATTTTTGGAGATCCTCTGAATGAAACCAAGGAGCATCTGCAGCACGTGAAAGATATGGAGGATGTTCTAGAAAAACATTACCTCTTGTTTTTATACAAAGTCGGCAACTCTACACATGGGGAAATCAAAGTTGTGCAGAGTAGGAGAACAAAAGATTTTGAACTTGAAATTTAACACAGGGTTTGAGTGGCAAAAAAGAATATTGCACAAATCACGCATAAGAACTAATAATTAAGGAATCCGTGGTACAGCTCAGGGTGACTGATTTACACCGATAATGAGAAGTTAAGAAGTTGAGAGTGTGAAGAAAGCAAGACGGTGGAGATCACTGTATTCATAGCTTAGACTAATGACCCAGCGAACTGGCACCACCAATGAACTAACACAGTTGGCATGTGATTGTGGTCTTCCCAGTGTCTCTGAGTGCCCAGGCATCCTGCTGATCAGCACAAAGGCTGTGTGGGTGCTGAACTCTGAGTATGGTCCTCAACTTTCGCCTCCTCCAAACTGGGAACCACGCAGATGACAGGGCAGGGCCAGGACAGTCCCTTTTCATTGCCTCTGTAATGCCTGAAGGAAAACACGAGAACAATGGCTCTATGTCAGCTTCTGCAGCCATTTCCTCCCCAAAATGCTGTGTGGTGACACTTACAGCAGGCCAATCTGTACAGAGCACAGGATGTAGCTATATGATCTCATACTTCACATCTTTATTATGGCCAGCACAGAACTATCCTTCCTGATTGACTATGTGAATTAAGTTCTACCTGCTTATATTTAAATCGTGTACCTTCTCTGAAACCAGTCTTGTTTCTGAGTCATCTTACACTCTAACTTGGCTCAAACAAGTGGGAGCGGACATGGAGAGGTAGACTGATTTGCAACTCAGATTTGTGGAATGACTGCATTCAAGCAACAAATAAAATGCTTAACCCTAATGATTATTCTTAGCCGTCCTCACCCTCACCAAGCCTGTGACCTGGAAATAAAATGCAAATGTTAATTCTCAGCTCATGTGAGTCATACTTTTTTACAATATTTAGATGACCTTTTTTTTTGACTTGCTCCTTTGTCATACAATTGCAAAAACAGCTCTTTGGAAGCGGAGGGGAAGAAGGCACTTGAAAACACTTGATGGAAAGGGCTTTCTCCTTGAATCTGAGAGGAAAAGCTATGTTTCATGGCTAAATTTTTTAAATCTAAAGACATATAACTCTTACTATGAAAATAATGAAGAAAGAGGATTCCAACTATCTTTTCTTCAGTAACCCTGCTCTTGAAAACTCAGCTTTAGTTAGCAGAAAAAGTTGTTCTTACTTTAAGCACCTTTACTGAGCCAAATACAGTTCTCTCTGACAGATTTATTTGATCCTTCCACACTGCATTTTCCCAACTCACACCTTAAAATCTGATAACTTTATTCACACTGAATGGCACTTAAGTCCCTAAGTAGTCATTGCTATTTCAGTGAGACTTGACGATGAAGTCAGCTTGTGCCAGCTAAGGTTTCTGAAACTGGCCTTGCATCAAAAATGTGTGAAACTAAATCAGTGGACTGGATCTCATTATGTATCAACAAGCTTGGTAATTCATTTCTGATTTTACAGATGTTTGCTGCTTTTGTCATACCTACCCGTTAAATATTGCTTCAGAGCTCAAGCTCAAAATGAAGCCCACATATGCAAAGCAAGACCTTCCTCTAAATGGCATTTATTTTCAGTATGTATACTGAAGACATCAAAGGACTTGTTTAACAGGCATGGAATTAGGAACAACACATATTATTTTTAATTGTGTGGTGTAAACTGAAAAATTAGCAATTTCAGGCTCTGAAACATAAGGAAGGGTCACATTCATTATCTGGAAATAACATTTAGAAATTTGAAAAACAAGAAAAAAATCTTTTTTTCTTAAGAAGGTCTTGTAAGCTTCTTCTTGAATTGGAAGAGTTGAGGAAATGGGTGTTGGTATTGCACTTCTGCATATCTTTCAATAATAAGTTCATTTTAGTCATCTAGGCTGTACCTATACTTGCAATCAAGTTTGACCTTATAGTTGTCCCAGGCCTATGGCCACCAGCATTCTATGGTTTAAGCTCAGGACTCACACCCAGATACAGATATATCTTAACATAAGAATTTCCACTGAGCTCCTGAGAATAAAATATACTTCTACCACATACTTCTTATCACCATTTTTACAGGATGTCTTGTATATACTCAATAAGTGCCCCACCTAAGCAGAGAAAGTCCGCCAGAGGCAAACCTATTTTTGCCCAGTTTGGCCGCTTTTGTCTTTCCACCAATCATTAGCAAGAAAATTCCTTACCTCTGCCAGTCTTTCAGTATTTGGCCAAATTTGTAAAGAAACTTCAATCCTTTTACTAAAGTATTTTTGAAAGAATTTTCTATTTTCAGTTATAAAGCATATCCATTCCTTCTAGACCTAATGAGTTTCTGAGGATGTTTACTGAATTTGTTCAAATAGGGAAATTCTAAGAGAGTTGAATTTGCATCCAAAAGTGCCCTAGAATTTTAGTCTCTGAGCCTAAGAGAAAGTGAAAGTTAAGATAGTTTTTATATATTTCACAGAGTAATTGTGGCATGTTATTTCATGAAAGCAAAGTGTGGAGTCTTGTTTCACAGCAGTGTGATATTCAAAAGCCTCTACAGATACTCCAAAGCAACATTTTCACTGGCGTGACTCAAAGTAAATAATTCTTTGCCACAATATTCTGGCTACATTTGCCTGGTGCGCATCAATGTCAGAGGGTCAAATGCTGGCTTAGAACAAATACAGACATGTGCTGAAAAAGGTAAATAAAATCTTTTGCACAGTAGGTAAATCCTTAAGGTTTAAGTGGGTGCATAGGACCAAAAGAAGGTCAGCCAATTGAACAAATATGGTGCAACAGCTACATCCTTTGACGTGCCAACATCTTTTCTGTTATCATGCTAAAAGAAAAGTAGTACTTTGTACTCATGCTTTCAATTACCAAGGAAACCGTAAGTGTCGGTTTTTCAGAACTTAGACTGGAAAATAATAAGCTGTTTTAGAAAGATCTGAAAATATTTTAGATAATTTCTAGTTCTGAAGAGGGCAAAGAATCACAGTGGAAAATGCCTTCATTTTGTGCTGCATAGCTCCTGTTCTATCCTCCTCACCTTCTATCAAGAAGACGGTGCCTTGCTTTATATTCTTCATACATCATATTTATTAGTAGATTCTTTTTAAAGTAATCATTAATTAGTGATTAGTCATTTCTGCATAAGATCTCTTGAATGAAAGTCTTGCTGATTTCTGTTTCTTTGCAATTGCCGTAACTTACAAAAAGTTTGACTGCTTGCTTCTTGTATATTTTTTGTTCACAGTTAGACATTTACCATATAGCAAAACTTAAGTCTGAACGGGAATCTGACAGTATGTCCCACTTTACCTTAAGTAACCATAAAAGACAGCTAACTTGGTTTCTTTATTTAAAACGGCAATGACATTCATGAAATGATTTATGAATGTGGATATGCTTCATATAGCAGTTGTCATAACATTGCAGATTAGGCTAGCAGTTCTGAGATATCAGAGTTCCAGTCTTTCAGCTAGGCCGAAA